AGTTTTGGTCAAAAGTTTAAGGAGTATCTCAGGGTGATAGTCTCAGGGAGTCCTCTAGTTTCAACTGGTCCAGTAAGTCTGGACTTTTTAAGAATTTGAGTTCTGTTCCACATTTTTATCCCATTCAATCAGGATCCATCTATTGTAGCCCTGGTCAGAATGGTTGTTAGTGGTAGCCAGGCACTGTCTTGTTCTTCTGGTCTCAGGGCAGAGGAGGCCATGGTTTGTGTAAACTGTTAGTCCTGTAGCTTAGTTTCTTCTCTGAGTCTTTGGTTTCCTTCTTTCTCTTTTGCTCCAGAAGTGAAGAGACCGATAGTTGTATCTTAGATGGCCGCTTGCAAGCTTTTAATACTTCAGACATTACTCACCGAATTAGGATGTATAACATAAATCTTATGAACTATATTATGCCAGTTGACCCTGTTGTCCCATGAGACTATGGTCCTAAGCCTTCAAAGCCAGAAAACCAATCCCGAGAGGTGTTTGGTTATGTCTGAGAAGTATCTATAGCCCTGGAGTCCTTTTAAGAATCCACTGCACGATTTGGCAAGGAAAATTGATGGTCCCTCCTCCTCCCACCCCCAATCCCATTGCCTGTGGCTTCTGGTCCACGCAGACCCTGGGAGTTTTGTGTTTTTTTTTTTTTTTTTTTAACCATCCCTGTCAAAGCCTTCAGGAGCCCTGGTGGTGCAGTGGTTAACAGCTCAGCTGCTAACCAAAAGGTCGGCAGTTCGAAGCCACCAGCTGCTCCTTGGAAACCCTATGGGGCAGTTCTACTCCGTCGTATAGGGTCGCTTTGAGTTGGAATAGACTAGACAGCAGCGGGTTTTTTGGTTTTTTTGCATCTCACCTGTCAGGAAGAGCAGCCTGCTTCCTTCCGCTTTGCCTACCCTCTACTTCCAGTGGGGGTGATGGGGCTACAGTGGGGCTTGAAATAAAGGTGTTGAAGGAGCTGAAGCTGATTCTAGGAGTGATAGGTAAAGGGATCCAGGAGGTGGGGACTTTCCCCATCTTTCTGGGCCTGGCCAGTTTCAGCATTTCAGCTTCCTTCACTGCCCGCCCCCTTGTTTGCCACGGCACTCAACTTCCTGCCCCTACCAGAGGAAGTGGAGAGCGACAGCAGGTGCTGCGACAGCCAACAGGGCCATGGTGAGTCCTGATGCCCAGGAACCTAGGCATCTCTGCCCGCAAACCCCTGCCCTCAGGGTCCCCATGCCCAGGCCTCAACCCACAGTAGGCTGACTTCTAGCCTCCAAGCTCGAGTGATACTGGGAGCCCTGCTTGCTGCTCCCAACAGCCTCATATTGCCTCCCCTCCACCTGCCCCAACAGGACAAAGAGTATGTGGGTTTTGCCGCCCTCCCCAACCAGCTCCACCGCAAGTCTGTCAAGAAGGGGTTTGACTTCACATTGATGGTGGCAGGTCGGGAAGGTTTGGAGAGAGGAGTTGGGGGAGAGGAGGCCCTTCAGGAACCCTAACTGTCCTCTCATCTGACCAGCTGCACTTCTCCTGTCCACAGGGGAGTCAGGCCTGGGAAAATCCACCCTTATCAACAGCCTGTTCCTTACCAACCTCTATGAGGACCGGCAGCTGCCAGCAGCCAGTGGTAAGATCCTCCCCATTCTCCCCAGGCACTGCCCTCCACCCCCTCGTATGTCCCCAGGCTGCACTCTTTTCTTTGCCATCTGGGTCTCCCATGGCTTTCTGAGTGACTCAGGCAGCTCCTGCTTTTCTCTGAGACTGCTGCCTCTCCTGGAATATGGGTGGGGGCATACTGTGATACTGAGAAAGCAAATTAATCCTGCCTCAGACCTCTACACAGCTTCCAGACCTCTTACTGTCCCCATAGCTCGCTTGACACAGACACTGACCATCGAGCGCCGGGGCGTAGAGATCGAGGAGGGGGGTATTAAAGTGAAGCTGACCCTGGTGGACACACCTGGCTTTGGGGACTCAGTGGACTGCTCCGACTGGTAAGGAGGAGGGGAGGGGGCAGGGGCTAAGACCCTCAAAATGGCTACTCTGACGAAAGTGGGGCTTCAGGTACAGGGCTGGTCTGTCCTGACTCCCCACCTACCCTCACCCAAGAGGCCCAAATTGTCCCTGTGGTCAGTATGTGCTACTTGATGTCTCACCTACACCCCTGCCAGTTGCCCTTGATGCCTTTGGGTGGAGCCAAAGAAACTACCTGCCACCCCCACAGTTCTGGCTAACCTTGCCCTCAGGCCTCACATGTCTGACCACATGCCCTCTCCCACACTCCAGCTGGCTGCCTGTGGTGCACTTCATCGAGGAACAATTTGAGCAGTATCTTAGGGATGAGAGTGGCCTGAACCGGAAGAATATCCAGGATTCTCGGGTCCACTGCTGCCTCTATTTCATCTCACCCTTCGGCCGGGGGTCTGGGGGACACCCTGGGGGGTGGGCCTTTGGGGACGGTCTTCAAGCCCTGGGGCTGGGTTCTGACCAATTCCTGGACGCAGGCTCCGGCCCCTAGATGTGGCCTTCCTACGGGCTGTGCATGAGAAGGTCAACATCATCCCAGTCATTGGCAAAGCAGATGCCCTGATGCCTAAGGAAGCCCAGGCCCTCAAGCAGAAGGTGTGGATTTCCTGAACCTCTGAGCTCTGGCCCCATGTAAAACCAAAGGCCATGTCCAAACTTGATCTCATTTCTTCTTTAATCTTGGGGTGGCCTTTTTGGAGCATGGTGTCAGGCCAGGCTGTGGGAGAAACTTTCTGAGGGACGTGGGTAGTAAGTTGCCAGAGTGAGCCTTATCTCTGGAAGTTTATAAAAGGATAGGTGTACAGCCCCTGGGCTAAGGCCTGTCTGAGGGCAAGGGCATAGACAGACACAATGACATCTGACATCCTTTGGCCCCAGGATGCTGATGACTGTTCCCCTTACCCCTTCAGAGCCCATTCCCACTGTTCCTGTCTCTCCCACTCTCTTGGTGGCTGCCCCAGCTTAGAATCTTTCCAGGCCTTCACTGTTAGTGTCTTTGCCTCAGTTTCTTATCAGCTATGTCTCTGTCTCTTACTGTCTCTGAGATTTTGTTTTTGATCATCCTTTATGTCCAGCTGTCACCATTTCTGTCATTCATGTATCTCTGTGTCTCACTGTCTCTGGCCAGGCAATATCTGTCTCTCATGCTCTGTCTCTGACTGTCCATGCTTCTCACTCTCTCTGCATCTGTCTCCTCGGAGATCCGGGACCAGCTGAAGGAGGAGGAGATCAACATCTACCAGTTCCCTGACTGTGATTCTGATGAGGATGAAGACTTTAAGAGGCAGGATGCAGAGATGAAGGTGAGAGGGACAGAGGAGGAAGGGGTAGAGAAGCAGAGGAGGCTGATGTGAAGGTGGTGGCTGAGAAAGAAGTTTCGGCAAGGAGTAGGGGAGGGGGCAGAGGCCCAACCCTTGATCCCTGCCCTCTAGGAAAGCATCCCCTTCGCAGTTGTGGGTTCGTGCGAGGTAGTGAGGGATGGTGAGACCCGGCCGGTGAGGGGACGCCGCTACTCCTGGGGTACCGTGGAGGGTGAGTAAGGCCAGGCCCGCGAGCAGGGAGCCAGGCCACTTCCGAACCAACCGCACCCAACATGCAAGTTGGGGGTGTGCTCTAACCCCGGGGGACCCAGGAGCCCAAAGAGGGGATCCTTGGGCTGCAGACCGCGGACCCTCCCAGAGGGCGGCAACAGGACCCTCGGCCGGCCCGCCTCTGGAGTGAGACTGAACCCGAGGCTCCCTGACGCTCGCTGGTCCGCCCCCAGTGGAGAACCCACATCACTGCGATTTCCTGAACCTGCGACGGATGCTGGTGCAGACACATCTGCAGGACCTAAAGGAGGTGACGCACGATCTGCTCTATGAGGGCTACCGGGCCCGCTGCCTGCAGAGCCTGACCCGGCCGGGGCCGCGAGCCAGCCGCAGGTGAGAGCCGGAGCCGACTATCTTGGTGTGGCCAAGGCGCTGCCACCCAGGCCAGGCCACGCCCCCACCACCCATGACCCCATCTTCAAGACCAGGCCCTGCCCTCACCACCAGACTTCTCTCCCGGACCCTTTTCCCACCCACTTTGTCTTTGGCCTTTTCCTTTCGGGCAGGGCTCCGCCTCCTAGACCCCAACCCTGCTCCAGGCCCTACCTTCCCGCCCGACCCACAACCTCCGACCCCGCCCCTGATTGCTGCCCCTTTCCCACCACCCCCAGTAAGCTTTCCCGCCAGAGCGCCACGGAGATCCCGCTGCCCATGCTTCCTTTGGCCGAGACTGAGAAGTTGATCCGCGAGAAAGACGAAGAGGTGAGCAAGCACCTCGCTCCCCCTTGACCAAGACCCCAGGTCCTCTGCGAGGCCCCTCTCTGGCCTCGCCAGGTCCGACCGCCTGCAATCTTGTCCCGCACAGCTGCGCCGCATGCAAGAGATGCTGGAGAAGATGCAGGCCCAGATGCAACAGAGCCAGGCCCCGGGCGAGCAGTCGGACACCCTCTGAGGCCCCCGTCTCGGCCCTACCTTACTTCGGCTCCGCCTTCAGTCTGTCTCTTGCCCAATCCCCGAGGCCCAGCCAGCCCAGCGCCTAATCACGGAGCCCCAGCCGGTAGGCCGGCCCTTGCCCTGGCTTTGAAGATTCTCCCCTCGGACCGTTCCTCCCCAAATCCGGAGTTGGGAGCCCCGCCTCTCGTTCCGCCTGGACTCTACCACTGCCCGCCCTCCAGTTCGCTGTCCGCCCACTTCCTGAGCAGGCGTCTCCGGCACCATCAAGACCCTGTTCTCCATCTTCGGGCGTCACCCCTCTTCACCCACGCTGTATCTTCAATAAACGCTGAGCTGCCCTGGGGCCACGCGAGTCTTCTCTTTCCCAGTGGGAGTAAGTGGCGGGCGTAGCCGATGGAGCCGTCCCACTCAGTCTCCAGCGCACCCGCTTGGTGCTCGACCGTGTTTCAGCTCTCCTTCCGGGACCCACGCCAGGCCTCCCTCACACAAACACACTGAAGGCGCCGCCGATAAGAAACAAAGACCAGTTCAATTTTATTGGGGGTCGGGGTGGCGGTGTCCGACTGGCCAGAGGGTAGTGGTCAGCAGAGGCCTAAAAGAGTCCTCTACTCCTGGTCCTTGGCGTCGCCGTGCGTGATGACGTAGCAGATGTTCTTGTAGTCTACATTGCCACCCACGTCGGGGGGGAAGGCCGCCCACATGTTCCTGATCTAGGGGAGACATAGGGGCAGCTCCTACCGGTTTCTTATTCCCCACTCCCTGTCCCCTCCCTTCTCCCAGCCCCTACCCCACTCACCTCCTCCTGGGAGAAGCGGTCACACTGCGTGGTAAGCAGCTCCTCCAGGCTGGAGAGAGGTGACATACAGGGAGTTGAGCCTGGTGTTCGTGGTTCCCTTCCACTCCCTCCCACCTCATCCTCCTTGCCACCCCCAGCATCTCTCTGAAAACGGTCACTCTAGAGCCATCTTCGATTTCCAAACACTCTGGCCTCCCGGCTTTTCCCCTTCCCCCCATATTTGCATGAAAATTTAATCCTCCTTCAGATCGCCTGTTTCCACAGGCCTAATTTCTCCCTTACCCTTGACAGTGCCTAACCCTTGGTAGGGATTTAAAGAGGTTTCTTGGGGCGGGCGGGGGCAACTTACAACTGTTTCTTTATGGTACCCTTCCCTTCAGGGTCCAGGACCTTGAAGGCTCCGGTGATGACGTCCTCAGGGTCAGCACCTGGGGAGTCAGAGGGCACATGAGGCTGAAGGGTCCCTGAAAGGTTCAGTGAAGGGCACCTGGGAGCTTGGACGAAGGACCCTTCACTCACCCTTGAGCTTCTCCCCAAACATGGTCAGGAAGACCGTGAAGTTGATGGGACCGCTGGCTTCTTTCATCATGGCATCCAGCTCCTCATTTTTCACATTCAGGCGGCCTGGAGCGGGGAGCATGGGCTACAGCGAGGCCCTAAGGCCAGGGCCATGCTTCCTGTAAGTTTGGATCACCCCCCCACCCCCAATTTTCAGTTAGGTAGACTGAGGCCTGGGGTGGAGCAGACAGGACTGGAACCCAAGGCTGCTGTGTTCCCAGGACTCTGCAGCCTTGATGCCTGAGACTTTACGGGTGGGGGCTCACCCATGGCTGCGAAGGTGTCCCGCAGATCCTCCTTGTCGATGATGCCATCTCGGTTCTGATCAATTACAGTGAAGGCCTGTGGGAAGTGGGGGACGGGATGGGGGTTAGGTCCCCCATGGCCAGGCATCTGCCCTCCCATCACGGGCAGATCATATTCTGGCCCCCAGCCAGCTGTCGCCTTCTACTTCAAGCAAAGAGGGGAGGAAGGAATGCTACACTCTTCCCCTCCCCCACAAACAGGTGCACATTCTAGGGAGAGGGTGTGGGAGGGGGAAGGGACAGCAGGGGGGTGCCTTTGGTCTTGGCCTTCAGTCTTCCCCCTCCCCTCACTTACCTCCTTGAACTCCTGGATCTGAGTCTGGTCGAACATGGAGAAGACACTGGAGCTTCCACTCTCTACTGCCCTTCTCTTGGCCTTTTTGGGTGCCTGGGAGATGAGGGTTGGGCAAAGGGGTTCATGAGCCAGTCGCTACTCCTTTCTGAGGACAGTGGATTAGATTCAAGGCTCTTTGAGCTTCTTCCTTCTGAAGAAACTCTTCTGGCTCTAGGCCTCCCCCTCTTAGGGACCTCTTTGCTAAGGGGGTTTGCTTCAGTTGCATCCCCTAAACTCCCATCTGTGACTCCTGGATCTCCATCTCTCCATTCTACCCAACCAGTGGAAGTTTCCTTCCTTCCTCAGTGCTTTGAGCCTACTTCCTCTGAGCTCCAGACTTGCTGTATGACCCTGATCTACTCATTCACCCTGTCTGATTCTCTACTTTCTCATTTATGAATTGGGAGTGGGAATCCTTACCTGGCTGATCCCAGAGGACTTTAGGAAGATGGAGTGCAAGAAGGGATGGAGCAGGCTTTCAGAGGGGTTGGACCCCTGTGAGTGGAGTATCTGGGCAGATTTCCCTTGGTTGGATCCTTTAGGCCATCACTTTTGCCTGTCTGCTCCCCATTAGTAATACCAAGAAAGGGAGGATTCATCTGTTTTTTTCTTGCTGGACTGGGAACCAGCTATTTTCTCTCAAAGGGTGCGGCTGCTCTGAGGTCTGAAGGATCTTGGGCAGGGGCTAGAGAATTCTCACTCACCATGTTTTCGGTCTCCTGGGGACAAAGTAGTGGCTCAGGCTGGAAAGGAGTGGAGTCAGCCTAGGGCAATCCCTCTGGGGTTATATAGTCCTGCCCCAGGGAGCCCTTAACATACCGTGTGGTAACCTTAGCCTTTTGGGTACCCACCCCAGATACCAAAATAGCCCAGCTCAGGGCCTCTCCTTTCTTGGAGGGAGCAGCTGGAGCCAAGGGAGGGAGGGAGGGAGGAGGGAGGTCTCGGGATGCATATCTCGCTAGGACCTGGGCAGGAGGGATGTTCTCTCTCCCAAATTGGACTGGATATGACAGAGTTCAGAGGGGGCCCAGGCCTAGGCACAGTTCCAGGCGAGAGATGAACCAGGCCACCCCTGTACCCTTGAGTGGGGTGGGCCCAGAATTAAATCCAGTAAACATTTATTGAGCACCTAGAATGTGTAAGGTGCTGGCCTGGGCTTTGTGGATGCACTTCAGCAAACACCCCCCACCCTATCGTAGAGGTCACAGTTGAGTGTGTGTATGTGTGTGGGTGGTGGCAGTGGTGGTGACAGAGCTTAGAAGTGGGAGAGAGAGGCTTGTGGAAGTTGGGGGATCAATGAAATTTCCTACATCTCCTTCCAGGGAGGGGGGTTTTGTGAGGAAAGATGTAGAGCATGAAATCACTAGGTATGAAGAGACTAGACAGCCTAGAGCAGAGGGCCTGCTCTGTGATCTTGGACATTGTGCTTCAACTCCCTGGGCCTGTATAAAATCGGAATGTAATTCCCATCCTATAGAACTATTGTGGATGTGAACACTTTTTGGAAACAGTTTAGTGAACTCTAATTATTATAATTAATAATAATTAGTTCCTGCCCTGGTGAAACAGTCTAGCCACGGAGACAGGAATAAATGCAGAAAATAACACACCCACTGGTCAGAAGCTCAGAAGTAGAAAGCACAACAGTCATGTTTAGGGGTATGGGAATGGCTTTATTAAGGCTAATGGAAGTGAGTCAGGTGAAGGTGGATGGGCAGGCACCCTAGGTTGAGGGCACAGCATGGGTAAAGGCCCAGAGAAGTGTAAGATCAGAGGTGTTCAGGTTGCCATATTGTGATGAAGCTAGAGCAGAGGATGTAAGGAGCTGGAGAACAGACAATGGAGGGCCCTGAATGCCAGGCTGAGGGCTAGGACCTTGGAGAGGCTGGGAAAGGTGTGAAGCAGGAGAAGGACATGGTTCGATGTGAGTCTAGAATCATTTCTCTGGTTACTGGTGTACAGGCTGGAACTTAGAGGAGGAGAGGCAAAGACACCAGGAGGGAAGCTAGCTGGTTACCACCTTCTGGGTGGCTGGGATGGCCAGTCGCTTCTCTCTCTATATTCTGGGCAGAACCCACCCTCCTCCACCCCTCTGGGCCCCAGTGCCCCAGTCCCTTCCATAGAGTGGAGGTCTGGGAAGATGGTGCCTAAGGAAGCCTGGGAGGCCCAAAGTTGGCAAGGATGCCCATCTCCTTTTCCCTCTAGCACCCGATGTCCTGAGGTAGGTGCCTTTTCTACTCCCCTCCTCTAGCCTCATGCCAATGCTTCTAAGACATTTTCTTTTCTGGGCACTGGGGCCTGGCCACCTGTTGTCTCTAAGAAGAGAGAAGGAGCTACCTAAACTTAGCAGCTGCCCTTGGCCTCCTACGGTGGCCCCTCCCCGCTTCGGTCTGCAGCTGCCTCGCCTTATACGGTTACCATGGGGGTCCAGGCCCAGGGAGGAGCCCATTTATTACTGGGCTGGGGGGGGACCCCAAAGAGGGGAATGGGAGGAGCTCAGGAAGCCTGGGCCAAGAAGAAAATGGGGAGGTTGAGGAGATGGAGATCAGGGGTGTTATATGTCAGATACTGAGTGGGAGTTCACAGGATTTGAGTCTGAGCAGGAACTGAGGTACCTCACAGAACTCAAAGGCCAAGGAGGAACTGGGAAGTTGGGAGTTAGTTCTCAGAGGTAGACTGCAACTTCAGAATGGTGGGCTCTTGTGTGGAAATTGGGGCCCTCTAACCCTGGAGCCCGGAACCCTGGTGGGACAGTGGTTAAGAGCTTGGCTGCTAACCAAAAGGTTGGCAGTTCGAAACTACCAGCTGCTCCTTGGAAAGCCTATGGGGAAGTTGTATTCTGTCCTATAGGGTCTCTATCAATTGGAACTGACTCCATGGCAACTGGTTTGGTTTTTGGTTTTTTAACCCCGGGGCCCAGGAGACTAGGGGCCAGAGAAAGGAGGGAGTGTTTAGGAGCTGGAAGGTTGGGGCTTATGATGTGAGGATTTTGTGCTCTAGGGCAGTTTGAGGGGCTCATGAGATTGGTGTCTAGGTTCTTAGCAGGAAATGAGGAGTACACAGAGATGTGGCACTGAGAATAAGAGTTGATGGGACTGGAGTCCTGGATCCTGAAAAAAAAAGGAACACAGATATGGGGAGTTCATGGTGTTGGGGATTCATGAATTTAGAGTAGGGGATTCCTTTGAGAATGGGAGAGGACTCACAGGGATGAGGTCTAATAGATGGGGGCTGAATAGAGGGACTGGGGATTCTTGCAAGAAATGAGGGATCCAGAGAAATTGGTTGCTTAGAGGATTTGGGGGCACTAGTTATAATTTCCTGGGCTTGGAATGTTGGGGTTGGATGGGGGCCAGCTTTAGGAGAATCAGAGACAGTGTGAAGGCTGAGAGTTTTGGATCAGGCTTCAGAGCACGGGTTCTGTGGTGGGGCTTAGGGTTCTAGAGACCACCGGAGTGGGCAGGGCTCAGCAGGTAGATGGGGAAAGTAGGCTCAGAGAAAGCTCAGGAGGGCAGCGCGGCGCTTTTATTGGCTAAGGGCTGTGCTAATCTCCCTGGCCCTCGGACCCTCTCCGCGCTGTCCCCAACTGTCACCTCCCTCCGCGCTTGTCGCCGAGTGTCACTGACTATCCCTGGGCTGGCACTGCCGGCTGGCAGCACCCTTGCCATTTCTAAGCTGCCATTGGCTGAGATAGTTTCCGCCTCTGTTGCTGAAGGGGGAGAACGAGATCATTGGCTGACGAGGCAAATCAATCGCAATCTTGGCCCGCCCCCCACCTGTCATTCCTTCCTGACAATTTTGGGAGACCTAAAGAATTCCTCAGTTCTTCCTATTGACTGCAGATGCTGTCTGTCACCGCCCAACTAGACAACACTGTCTATCAATTTTACCCTGGTGGCACAGTGGTTAAAGTGCTTGGCTGCTAACCGAAAGGTCTGCCGTTCGAACCCACTAGCCCCTCCGCGGGAGAAAGATGTGGCACTCAGCTTCCGTAAAGATTTACAGCCTTAGGGCAGTTTTACTCTGTCCAGTAGGATCGCTATGACTCGGAATCGACTCACGGCAGGAGGTTTGGTTTTTTTTTTTTGGTTTACTCCCCTTTTCATTGGCTCCCTTTTCGCCGTTTCTGTCAGCCAGGGAGCTCCTAGGCTCCGCCTCCTACCCGCAGAGTACCACCTCCCTCCCTGCCCTTCCGCAGTCATTCACTTTTCAGTCATCTTTATTGGCCAAGAGGTCCAGGTTCCCGCTTTTCTATTAGATACTTCCTTCGTTCCGCCTCCTCCTGCCTTCAGTCGCCCTCTGATTGGCTTTATCGCCCTCCGCCCTCTCCGCTTCCTCTTCCCAGATTACCCATGCCCTTCCCACCGCCAACCCCACCCATCCTTCCAGCGATTGGCAGAAACCCAGTTCCCTCTCTTCTATTATTCGTCCAAGCCCTCTGTGAGGGCGGGAGAAAAAAAAAGGAGCGCGAGGGGACGGCGGCGCGCAGGCGTGAAACGTCTGAACGCTGGCTGCTGAGCCCGGCACCGGGACGTGTGCGCAAGCGCTAGGTCGGCAGCTCGCCCGAAGCAGGAGGGAGGGGGGCGGCGGTGGCGAGAGAGCGCGAGGTCTGGAGAGGGCACTGGCGAGACCCCGGCGTAAGGCGCCCCTGGCCCCCGCTCCACCCCCGCGCGCCCAACGGCGGCCCGAGCT